CTTGAAAATTAGAACACCAAAGCAAATTAGATAAGAATGAGCAGACTTCAAATATCAAATACCCTTTGAATATCAGCATATTAAAGAAATATCTGTTCTCAAAACTGTCTCTGATAAAACCCCTTTACTTCACTAAACCAAGACCTAGCATTTTTTTCATTTTCCCAAGTGCAACAAGCCCTTCCCTGTGTCCATCCCAGCACTGAACAGCAAACATCCTTCTGCAGAGGGACCCATGGGGCTGCTCTTCACCTCCTCAAGTAACAGCAACAGTCACACAAGAGTTTGGGATTTTGTGAAAATTCTTCTTGGGYTTATCTCAGAGCTGGTGAAAAATAAACAAGGCACTTGTCCCTGCTACAGGATGACCCATTAGCTGGGTTTACCCCGTTCTGGGGATGGTTTTCATTGCAAAGYAAAGGAGAAAGCACAATCACACACTCTGTGCATCATGCTCTTTCTCCTAGCACAAAGCACCAGAAAGAGAACAACAGCTAATGCAGGAGAAGTAGAAAAGAAGGTGCACCTGCATGGAAATTGCTGCTGCTAGATAATTTGGCTGCTCTGAATTCAAAGAGTCAAATCTACTGAGCTCAGCCAAATCACTGCTGGAAGCACAGATGCAGCTATTTAGCAAATAAAAATACCAGGTAGGGGGAGATAGGATGTAAATTTGGAGAGCCCAGCAAAAGCTATCTCATGAATGGTATTTATATAATGGTGTATTTCTTGTGGGAGGTGCAGGTTGGCTGTGCCATGATTGCAGCTGTGTCATTGATCTCAGGGGAATGGAAAACTGATGCTCTGACCTGAAGAAACACAGAAACCTCAGAAACCTCAGAAACCTGCTCACCTCAGAAACACAGCTCTGTAGCCTGTGCTTGGGGAGCTCTTAACACAAGAAGGAAGAATATATCTACAAYATATTGCAGATATTACTGCAATATCTACAGGCCTCAATATTGGACTTTGGCTAATTGAGATATATTAAAGTCAATAAAGCTGATTCAGAGCTCCCAGATGTCACCAGTGCAATCTCTCCAGCTGGGTGCAAGTCTGGGGTAAGCCTGAGTTCTCCTATCCACATTTAAACTCACCTTCTGTGTGCCCTGACTCAGACCTCATGCTTCCTCAGCTTTTCCCTGCCTAATCACAAAAAGCAGCAATCCCAGACTCTGCATTTCCTCCAGTCCCAAATCTGATACCTCCCTGCTCTAGAAATATTTGTCCCAGTACCCCTGTGACACAGAGAAGAGACACTGCCCACCTAAGGATGCAGTCCACATTTCTGCCTAACTGAAGGTGCTGTGAGAAGAGTAGAGAACATTCCAGAGCAATACTGAAATAATTCAMTTTTCCAATTGGATTTAAATCTCTGGAGAAAACAGGGCTGTCAGGTAACAAAAAGGATTACCTTTTACTACTGGAAATCTTACTGCTATCACCAATTCAAATCTTTTCTTCAAATAGGTGTTATTTGGAATTTCCCAAATCAAAAGGAGATAAATGTTTGTATTAAAGGTTATTAGCAAAGCATCTGTTGGTTGCTATGGAAGGGTCAGGAATGCTCAGTGCTTTCTAGGTGTGTTGGATTAGAACAGGAAGCAGGTTATTATTTAACTTGCTTTTCACTATGAAGTGCAGGAAGAAACTMTTTGGCATTTTGACAGAAATGTGGTTTGACACAGTGATGGGCTGAARGTCTTGCTTATGGCATTATAAAACTTTCCTGGAATGATTCCTATCACAYTGGCAGATAGATGTCTGGAAAGGGACTGCATTTCAGTGACAATGTATCTGGCCATTAAATTTTCTAACTGTACAGAAGCGACGTGTTATTTATTTGGCAGCAACTTGAATAGTCTGAGCATGTGACACTGCTCTAGCAAAGAAAAATGTAATACAAGTTGACAAAGCAGAGAAGGCAAAGTGGCATCACACATGGATTTCACTGTGTAACCAGAGGAGCTTCAGGACCAGCTGCAGACTGGTGAGTGTTACACATATTTGGATTCCATCATTAAAAGTATTGAGAACTCCACCGAGCCAAGCCCAAATGTTGGAGCCAGACCCAATTCTAATAATTCCACACTTACAGGGCATGAGCATCATGGAAGATGAGAAAATAGTTGCCAGAAGTTTTGAAAAAGGCTGGTGTTGCTTTCTGTCTCACCAGGTGCCTTAGCTGTGCTCCTACAAATTACTGCCTCCTTCTCCCCTAACTTTTCACACTGCTACTTCATGAAGGTGAATTACTTAATAATACTTTTTTAAAAAACAAAAAAAAAAAAATCCTATCTTGGAAGTTGGTAGACTTCTTCCTTCACATATTAAGCTCATATTTAATAATGTTGCAATTTCTTGACTGCCTTAACAAGGAGAAAGGCAGGTTCAACTGAGGAATACTTATTGAAGTTTTACTAAATTTCCACATTTGCTTAAATATTTGAAACTTCCATTAGTATCTATTACAAAAGTGACTATTGACACAACAGATGAAGGGGTTTTTTTTTAATTTGTCACTTTAAAGCAGTTCTTGCTTCCCCAGGACTCCTTTGTTGTTCATGGTCCCAACTGGTAATGGCAAAACCATTGTGACAACAGATATTTAAAATAAAACCACATATTCCAGTCTTCTCCATTGTTTTTACAAYGGGAGTGCATAACCATGTTGTCTTACCTGTCACACTCACAATTTTGCTGGACTTTCTAATTAGTAGACAGAAAAAGTCTGCCCAATGGAAATAAAAATGAATATTCAGGTAGTCTTTACTATATTTCYTCAGTGAGAAACAACTTGAGAATGGCTAAAAGTGACAATATTATCTTAAAAGGTTATGGAAAAAACTGAGACGTGACACATAAAGAAGTCAAAGATACTTTGATCAAGCTGAAAACAGGAAAATTTATCAAGCCTGGTAAGAATATTTAATCTTCTGCCCATGCAAACATTTTAAACCAAATTCTTGTAAGCAGCTGCTTCTTGTTCCTGAGGAAATGTGTATTTGTCACCCTCAGGACCTGCTGAATTGGATGGGACTGCAGAAGAGAAACCATTCATCATGTCAGGATGCCATAGGAGTGGAGAAATCTAGGGTTTATATTGTTATTTATTAATATCTASTACTTGAATACTAATATTCAGATTTTTATAGACAGGCAGATGAAGACTCCATTCTCTTAAGTTGAGTGTTTTCTTTTTCCCCAGGTTTTCTTGAAGTTTTCCCTAACATTAGTCATCTTAGCTGGGGTTCAGAARTTTCAGGGTCTAAGGGAAGTCATTCTAGATGGGGGCCTAGTTTGGTTTTCTACCATCTGAAATATAAATCAGAAGCTATTTAAAATGGTTGAAAACTGGAGATAAGTGGTTTTCTGTTTGAYTAATTGATTCAAARCTGTATTTTAGAGAATTGAGTTAASTTCAGGCTCTAAGCTGGCTATTTSMTCCTCAGTTCATGAACTGAATGAGAAAGTCCAGAAAGCCACAGGTACCTAAATAAGAATAAAGTTTTTAACCAGGTTTTATAAATTCACCTGCTCTGTGGAAATGATATGATCTAGCTGTCTGATAGAAAGAAATACTGTAAACAATACTAATATACAGAAAGTGTGAGCTCTGCATTGACTGAGATTCCAGAAAGGTTGAGTATTTTTTTATTTCTTTACTTTGCTATAGTATTTACTGTAGCAAGAAAAGGGAGGCTGTAGCTGTATATATATTAGGGGAAAAGGTGGCACATCTGCCTGTGGAGTCRAACTTTATATAAATTKACAGTTTGAAATGTAGATATCTTTACAGTCTGAAYTGAAAGAAATTTTTAGCCATTGGTTTGGTTTATTATTTCAAATGCAGTCATTCATCTCCAAGTGAAATTCTGGTTTTATCTAAGCTATTGAGAATGCCTGCATCATTTTTTTGCTGCTACCTTGCACTCCTTAGYCATCCCTGCTCCCAAAGTCTTGACATATAACTACTCAAAATCCAAAGGCAAGAATTCTTGAGTGCCAGATGTGCTAAAAATTAAAGAKTAGGAATTTGGAATCAAAGCCAATTTTGAACTGATTACACTTTGCTCTGTGTGCATGTGAGCATAAAAGGCATATCTATAAAATTATTACTGTCCAAGGCAGGAGGAGAACAAAGAAAGGGAACAATCCCCCTTTGACTAACCTTACTGACATGTCTGTCATTCCAGATGTCACTCTGTCCTTCCTTGGCAAGGGGTGGTGAGGAGATGTTGTGTGCAATGTGCTTCTCTGTGCCAAACTGTGGCTCTGAACAGAAAGCTGTGCTAGGGATTATATTAGGGATTATATTAGGGATTATAGGGATGATATTCTTAGGCCCAGCAGTCACTTTCTTTGCCTTCACTTCACTTTTTATCAGGCCAAATGAGCTTGTGAGGTCTCACATTGTCCACTGAAAGAAAAACAAGAGGAATCCCTGAGAACTCTGAACCCAGCTCCAAGGATCATCTGCTGCCCAAGGGTGCTTTGACTTCACAGACTCTGAGATATCCAAGTTTCCTCCTTGCAAAGAGCTGTGCTTTGCTGCAAACCTGCAATTTTTATAGCATTAAGTCATCTGCATGAAGTTTTTCTTCAAGAATTATCCCTGTTGCTTAGATTTCATTATACAGTTAGTATTTTTAATCTGACTTTTGAACAAAACCAAGCAGTTATTAGGGAGAATTATTCTTAGGGAGAACTCATAGAATTTTATTTAAAAGCTAGTAAATTTTCTACATAATGACCTTGAAAACAAAAACATCTTTTKTCTGGAGCTATACTTTAAAAAAAACCAAACAACTTCCTGTTCAGTAAAGCAATCAATTTCACAATTACTTTCTATAAATTTACAGTTTGAAATGTATATACCTTTACAGTTTGATCTGAAAGAAATTTTTAGCCCTGGGAAAAAAAAAAAAAAAAAGAATTCACTTCCCATTAGCCCAGTTATCCTGCTCAGGGATTAACAAAAAAAAAAAAAAAAAAAAAAAAAAAGGTGGTTTCAAGGACATCTATTTTCTTTGCAGAAGTGCTAATTAATATTCTGCACTAAGTGGATTTGACAGGTGCAAAGTGCTGACTGAGAAAATTGTGCCATCACTTTTACAGTTCTGTACAAGAACAAATGTTGACTTCACAAATTGTGCTTGGTTTTGTTAGGCTGGGTTCTGTGGAAAGGTAGAAAGTCTTGAGAAGTGATATAAAAGCTGAATATTCACTTCTGGCCTGGACTTTTAAATTGGCAACTCTAGGGGCAGAATGGCTCTTTTTATAACCTCATTCCTGGACCACTTTTCCAAAAAAAAAGGAAAGAGTATTACATCACTTGCTTTTTTTTCTTCTACATTTAATGTTTTTTTTGTTTGCACAGAAATGTTCAAATATCTCAAAGCCTGAACCTCCTGTTTATTCTCACTCAGGTGACTTGCAAACCTGAAGATACTGYTGCTCAGTGGAAATGTCAGACATACCAGCACTGAACCACAGTTTCTGAAGACACAGCCACAGTCTATAAAATGAAGCTTCTTCATTTAAAAATGCTCCTTGTTCCTAACTTCAGAGAAAGCATAGAAACTCTGAAAAATTTGCACCAGATGAAACCACTGAAAATCAATGATAGCTTGTTAGGAAAAATGTCCAAGGAATAGTGAGGATACTGTCTGAAAGACAAATAAATAAAATTAAGAAAATGRGAAAATATCCTTAATTATCATCACATAAAGTATCTACTAAGAGACTATCACTGTTTCAAGACCAAGAAGCACACCTCTCAGCAAGTAATTTAAAACAGTAACAAATGATAAAAACTGCAAAATTAAACCTTAAGACATGTTTTAGATCTACAACAAACTCAAATTTATAAACTCTGGCAGGTACCAAAGACTTATATATTATGATGCCTCAGTGACATCCCACTAAGCAATCATAGCCTATTTGTTGAAAATTGACACTAAACCAAATTTTCATAATTACAAAAAGCACCATGCCAGGCATATATTGTTGTAAACAGATTAAATTGTGATCTGATTTTTTGCATGTTGGTTGTTGAAAGCCTGAGAATGTTCTTKAGTAAGAGAAAAGACTGGGCAAACAGTCCCTTAACCTTGACAGCACTGTACTTTTCAGTTTTTAATAACCAAACTGTTCAAACAAACTTTCTTATAATTCGAAAAGTACAAAGTAGGATTGGTAYTGGGGAGGATCATAAATTACGTGCTAGTGCTTTTTATTGATGGAAAGCTCAATGTGCACACTATTTTCTAAATGCAGACTTTGATTTTTCTATTCTATCAGGTAATTGGTGCATTACTGGATCAAGGCTAATATACTTGGAGTGTTATATRAACAGGTTTACTCTTACCTAAAGAGGAAAGCTGCCAGTAATGGGGAGGATCTCTGGTGGCCATGTCATTCTTCCAAATCTCCTATTCTAGTGCTTCTGTCAAAAAAACACATACACACCCCTAATCTGTGAATCAAATCCAAAGGTTTATTTGCCCCAAGCTTTCCAAAATGAGAAATAAGTTTGCCTGTTAAATTATTTATCCACATTCTGTCTAAAATCCTTACAAGCCACCAAGCAAACATGAATACTGCACAGCACTGTGCTATCCTCATGTTGGAGTGTTTCCTAAAAACACTGGCTCCTGCAGTTCTTTTTATCAAACCCTGGTGTCACGGAAATCAGACCCTGGGTTTGAGGCAGATTTGGTTTATTTTAGCTTGAGCTTTGTGACTCYGAATAAAGAAATCCCTGGACCTTTATACCCTCACAGTCTGTGCACAAGAACTTCATGCACCTACATCTTCCTCTTGATCCAATGGAAATTTCTGGCGTGGGATCTTCCAACACCTCATTGGATTCTTTATCCATGTCCACATGAAGAGGTGATTAACTGCTCATATGTTCCACCTTGGTGCAGCCCTGGGACCCTCCTGTGTAACTGGGTGCCAAGGTCTCAGCCCACATCTGAGCCTATCTGGTCTGKGTTTCCTCCTCTGCTGAGCCAGCCATGGAGGAAATGGGAGCTCATTTCAAGCTCACCTACGCTGTTTTGTGCAGGCCCATTCGTGCTAAGYTGTAAGCAAGTTACAATTAAACTTAAGCCTATGCATTTCTCATATTCTATAAGTAAACTTACTTTAATCCCGAGCTGACAGACATCTAGAGAGGAAAATACTGCGCTGTAAGCCTTTCATTGTTTTGTTGTGTTACTTCATTGGAAGGATGGTGAGGCACTGTAATAAACTGCCCAAGGCAGTGGTTGAGTCACCATCSCCGAGGTGTTCAGGCATGGGTGTGGCACTTGGGGAYATGGTTTAGTGGTGAATACGGTGRTGCTGGGTTAACAGTTGGACTCAACRACTTTAGAGGTCTTTTCCAACCTTCACAGTTCTCTGTTTCTACGATTACAGCATGGGGTAAAATCATTATCTCTGGTAGTCACATAGTTTTCACACTGCAGCAAAAGTTGAAAACACTGTTTGTTTAAAACCTCATCTGTCACTGAGAGTGAAAAATAAAATGAAAAAGCTTTCCAGATAGGTTTGCTACTACAAACACAAATTTGCAGGACTGCACTTTTCCACTGTTCCCTTGATTGCTCGTTAGTTGTGGTCCCTGTAAGTGTACTGGTGTACTTTTGAAGCTATGGCTCAAGGGTGAGATACCAAGTTAACCAGGCASAGCCAGCCCTTCATTTTCTCTTTCTACACGCATCAGTGCCTGGATCAGTACCAGAGCCAAACCCCAATCACTACTGTAGCTAATATGGAAAATGTGTTAGAAAATCAAAATTWATTYTGTTCTSMAAAAGAAACCAGGAATTGCCACAGAATGACTAGGAGCTGATTTTGTCATGATCGTGGGACGTTATTAAAAAAAAAAAGAGAAGGAACTTAAGGATGAACTATTACCCAAACTTTTGACACAGTCTATCTGTGGTGAAAACCATGTAAACAACAGAGACAGGAGCAGGGGAGAAGCTGCGATGGGGCAGTGGGAAGAGCAAAGGGCAGCAGCTGCCGTGGCTGCACGGGCAGCGGGGGCCGGCGAGGGGCGGGCAAGGCAAGGGATAAACGAGACGCGATCAGCCCGACAGCGCTGCTCCGTGTCAGTGCCGCCCGGGTCCGCACGGGAGCGGGCGCATTGTCCCGGGAAGGCACGGCGGGGTGGAGCCGGGCTCTGCTGGGCTGCCGGGGTGTCTGTTCGGGGAGGGCAGTGCTGAGCTGAGCTGAGCTGAGCTGAGCCGAGCTGAGCTGAGCTGAGCCGAGCTGAGCTGAGCCCCGCTTGGCGCCAGCCGCTTTCAACTTGCCTCGACCCGTGCCCGTGCCCGCGGGGAGAAGCGCGAACAGAAGAGCCGGCGAGAGGAGAGGAGAGAAGGAGGCAGCCGGCCCGGCCGGAGTTTGCCCACCTGTTGGCGATGGGACGCGGCCCCGCCTGAGCACCTGCACCCCGCTCCCTCATCCCTCGACGCCGCTATGGAGAGCCCCGCGGGCGGCAGCGCGGTCCCGGAGCCGGCGCTCCCCGGCGCGGAGCCCGAGTTGGCGGCCGGGGCCCCGGCGGAGGCGGAGGTGGCGGAGGTGGGAGCGGCAGCCCCGCGGGCGCGCTGCCTGAGGGCCGTGTACGTGCTCAACGACCCGCCCAAGGCGGGCTCCGGGGCGCGCAGCCCCGAGGCCGGGGCGCGGCACTGCCTGCTGCGGGCCTGCGAGGCCGAGGGCGCCCAGCTCAGCACCGTCAACTTCGGGGAGCTGGACTTCGGCGAGACGGCGGTACTGGACACCTTCTACGACGCGGGTGAGCGGGCTGGGCTGAGCTGAGGCGGGCCAAGGCGGGGCGGGCTGAAGGCGGACGGGCGGAGCTGAGGCGGATGGGCTGAGGCGGGACGGGGCTCGGGCTGAGGCGGGCCGGGCTGAGCTGAGGCGGGACGGGCTGAGCTGAGGCGGGACGGGGCTCGGGCTGAGGCGGGCTGAGGCGGGACGGGGCTCGGGCTGAGGCGGGACGGGCTGAGGCGGGACGGGCTGGGACGGGCTGAGGCGGGACGGGGCTCGGGCTGAGGCGGGACGGGGCTCGGGCTCCACCCTGCCCCCGCCGCCTTCCCGGGTCGTGCAGGGACACTGCCGGCAGCAAAGGGGAACGCTCTGTGAAGGAGAGGGGGAGCGGGGCTCTTGGGAACGGCTGTGGGACCAGGGAAATGGTTGCGAAGCGATCCTCAAGGAGGAAAAGGTGTGAGACAAAAGTTGAGGCCCTTAGAGCAGCGCCTTGAGTCATCACAGTGCGTTGCCCTAGCAGGACTGTGGATCCCACAGTAGCACCCGAGCATTAAGGAGCAGCACATCTCTTGGGGTGGTTTGCTAAGAACCGTCTTTCTGTCTGTTTGGGAGCTTAAGAGTGAGACACGGCATGAAGACAGGCCAGCCTCTCATCTGGCTTGGGCAGACAGTGTTCACCACTGTCACTCTAGACTGGACAGAGAAATTGGCTCATACATGAACACAGTGAGCTAGTACTGCTCCGAACAAAGGCCCTGAGGAACACTTTTGGGTATTGTCCATCGTGTTCAGTCTCCAGCTGBTGATAGGTGTCTAATGGTTCAAAAGGGAGCTGCTGTCCCTTCACTCAAAAACACCTGCCTGGTTGGGCACTATGGCAGAGAACTGTTAGCTTTTTGAGCACACAAAGGAAGCCTCTGAGCCAATAGGTATTATCCACATACTCACCTTGATTAGTTTATGCTGGCATGCATAAACTAATGCTGGCATGTAGGCATACTTTTTTTCTATTATCTGTATGAGCCAGAATTAGGAGATGCTGGAAATTCACAGACTCCTAAGATGGAAAGTAATCTTTAAGTCCATGTTGATGTTCATCTTTCACAAGAACAGCTTTGTTTTGCTAATGAGAGGTGTTAAAGAATACTTTTTAAAACTTTAGTCTGATTTTAAATTCTCATTTGATCATTCATTTCATCCTAGTAAGTCACCCAAACATTGAGGAACCTCACATTTTTATTTGTCATGGTTATTTTCCCAGTCAGGGGGTTTTGTTATATCTCTGCTAGCAAAGTTGACAAATGTGTAATATATTCTTTGTGTGCTTTAGTACGCAAACACAAACTAGCAATTTCTTTTATAGCCCTTCTGAAGGTAAGAATAATAATGTACTTATTAATGCAAAATTATTTCTCCATTTCTACTAATAGTCCTATTAATGTATTAGGCACACACCTGCTGTGCACTGTACTGAGAGCTTGAGATCTTTAAAAGGTTGTGTTAAATTGCTGCATTCTGAAGTGAGTGCTTTTTCTCTGGGAATGTGCCCTAACTTTACAGACTTTTGCATTCAAGTCATCTTGTAGGACCAAGATCATTTTATCGCTGATTAATACCACTTTGAAACAGTAAAGTGCCTTTTTACTGGGTACACCTTCAACACCCCTATRTCCAGGTTTTGTCAGCAAGTGTCCATAAAAAACTGATTGAATAGTCTGTAATCAGGAATTGTTCCAAAGGAGACTGTTAAAAATAACCTTTTTGTGTATTTCTTTCCAGTAGCAACAATTTGAGATCAGCCAGGGGGTAATAATTTTAGTGTGTGTAATGTATGCCTGGGACTGCTGGCCTCTATTCAGTTCTTAAGAAGAGCACCATTAAGAATAAGTTTTAATATGAACACTCCCATGGCTCATGATGAACTTTGTGTTGGGAAGTTCCCGTGTGTTTACTTTAAAAAGAAGAAAATCTAAAGTTTTATTGCTGCCTGGATAAGATATTGAGCAGGTGTTTCCCACAGTGTAGGTATCACTTTCAATGTGTATTTACTTTCTGTAGCTGAGGGRCAGAACCTTGAAAATCAGTTCCTTTTCTTTGTAATGAGTGGGGGGTCTCTAAGAGATGCCTGCCTGTTGCCATCTCTTGGTCTACCAGTGGAACCTTAACCATTTACTAATCCTTGATGGCTGAGCAGCAAAGACCATCTCATTGTGGGTAATTTTGACAGCTCTTTGTTAAAAATATAATCTGTTAACTTTCCCTGACTGTGCCTGAAATTGTAGCCTTTTACTCCACCAGACAGCCCTCTCCAGAGCAAGTTTATCTACCTTATTTAGTATGAATCTGGAAGTACCTTTTGTGACAAAATCAGCAAAATTTAAGGACAGAGGACAATGAAAAAGATCAACTGAAACCTTTTTCCTGTCTGCAGGCAGGTTTTCTGGTAGATGATTTTTCAGTAGAATGCTGAGAAAAGTGCTGCAAACCACTTTATTTAAATATAAAAGTGCTGCAAACCACTTTATAAATTTTATGTCTAATAAAAGTATATGTCTCTTTCTCCTTGAGTGTAGTCATTACTGACTTCCTATCTTTTGAAATCTTACCTTGAATGGAGGCCTGACTTACATCTTTAGTTAGGTATTGCAGACCTGCAGGTAATGCAGGATGACCCTGATCTTACAAAATCACTCAAGACTTTCTAACTTTTGCCTTGCTGAATGGAAACTACAGCACTTGTGGAGAGCAAACTTAAAACAAGTTGTGAAATAACAGCTTGGTAAAAGAAATAGAAGATTTCTTTGCTCCATGTGTGCTAGAAACAAGCTGTCAACAAAGTAATTTATGTTTTTCAAAAGTGGGCAATGGAGTAGCAACTGCGATGCTTGCATACATTGATTGTACCTCCAGGAAGAAAGGTAATATTTTACACTAAAACTGGGTGCAGGGCGTTAGTGTGAAGCTTTTTTTCAGAAAATAAAAGCAATTTTCACTAGGAACAGTGAGCCTAKGAGCTAACTGAGGTTTTTGAAAATTCTTCAGAATTACCCCATGCAGAAAATCGAATTATAGGTGCTGTAGTGCATTCATAAACAGCTTAAGAGAGACAATAAAAAGGTGAGTGTGACTTGGCTAGTAGAGTAGATTACAGGTAGAGTGATTCATAGCTGCAAAAGATCTTCCTGTTCTGATGTACTAAGGAAGCAAACATGGTGTCAAAGTCAAATGTGTGAGCTGTACCTCTGGAAACGGATGTTAGTTAGAAAAATGTAGCTTTTCCTTGTCTGCTCAAAACTTTATCAAATCTTAGTACCTGAAGTTGCAGGCAATAGGGATTGGCTATAGTGTTAAGGTGTGCACAAAGTACACTTATACAGTTTTTGTTTGTTCCCATTTTGTTTGGGAAATACTGTCTCTGTAGATGATCATACTTTTYCCTCATGAGGGATGTGCAGCAATCTGTTTTGAGGCTTGGAATATTTCTCTGACCATTTGACCACAGCATTTAGAAATTGCTACAGTCAGCAGGATGAAAATCAGCTGAAAGGAAGATAAGCTAGAGAGAGACTGGTGTACTGAGAAATAGAGCTAAATGATGACATGAGATGAATGAGTATTCTTCTGACAATTCAGGAAAACTGTCAGATAATTTGTGAGTATAATGGAATATTTTGAAGTCTATTTCTGTTGTTTTGCTAATGAATTTCTCTRACCAATACCCTATGTGATAAGGCAGCCCCAAAATGCGTGGTCTGACACCTGTCTCTGTAGACCTGTCTTCATCCAGAGCCAAGACTTGGGAGTGAGCCCAAAAAGAGACTGAAACATGGGTCCTCCTTACTTTGGTACCATAGCTGAACAACTCTTAAGAAAACCCTGATTTCTTGTCCCTGAAACACTTTTTCTTGTGTTACACTGTGAGAGAGGAAGGAAGAAATATATTTGCTGGCTCCTAATTTTCAGGCTCTGGCACCTTATTGCTGTACCCAGCTGCCTCCCCTGAAACCCTCTGCCCTCAGAAGGCCATTTGTCCCCATTCAGAATTGGCAGGGATGCTTCACCTTGTTCAGCCTGAAGGCTGAGTGTGTCAGGTGCAGTGAACACTTGTCACTGGTTTAGGATAATATACAGCGTGGTGAGCAGTGTAGCTTAGCTGGAGGCACAGCTTTCCTTGCTGACTCTGCCACAGGGAGTGCAGTCTCTGACAGGAGTGACACTTGAGGGCAAGAACTTCTTCAACTYCATCAGACCTTCCTGCTGCAGTTCATCTTTGCCACTGTGTGGGACAGTGGTGGAGTTGAGGATTAGTGCTCTGGTACTTCAGCAGGCAGCATTTGCTGTTTTTCTGAGGAATACTTAAAATCTTTCCTTTCTTTTCCCATGCAGCACACTCAATGGCTAGGGGGTATTTGCTTTAAATCTCAAGATATATAATCCACAGAATACTAATATATGAAGAGAAGCAAACCAGCCATCTTCAGAASAGCGAGGTGGTGGATGAGAAGCTGGGCTGGATTTTGTGTGCTTTAGTACAACAGCAGAGCTATTGGGACCTAATCTTTTATCTCTGTGTGGTACTGCACATCTGGAGTAACTTCAGGTGTCTCCAGCAAAGCTCTGCATTGTGACATCAAACCAARTATTCTGATAAAACCCTGTAATATACCAGTATTGTAGTCCTTATATATCCAAGTGTGTGAGGCCAGTTTTAAATGAAGTAACAAGCCAATTCATCAGTGTATATGTTACTGCCATAAAACAGTTTAGGTTGGAAGGGACCTTAAAGATCATCCAGTTTCAACCTCTCTAACATGGGCAGAGCCACTGCCATCAAAGCAGGTTGCTCAGAGCCCTGTCCAGACTGGCTTTGAACACTTCCAGGGATGGGGCATCTCCAGCCTCTCTGTATAATCTGTGCCTCATTACCCTCACAGTAATTTAAATCAATCCTCTTTCAGTTTAAAACCATTCCCCCTTGCCCTATCACTGCAGGACTTTGTAAAAGGTGCCCCTCCAGCTCCCTTG